TCGGTAGTCGGCCAACAGAGTGTCCACTTGCGCCGAGGTGTAGTAGGCCAGCAAGGCTGCTGTTATAGCAGCGTCAGTGCCCGCCGTGGAGTAGCAGTCGGCTGTGATGCTCAGCGTGTCGTCGCTGTTGGCCAGCGCAGCAGAGAGAGGAGCCACGAAATGCAGGTTGCGAACGGCGTTGCTTCCGCGAACAAGATCCCAAGTCGTGAAGCCCGCCCAGGCCGGCGTGTTAACAATTCCGCCGCTGCCGGAAAGCTGCAGGGCGGCGAGCTCCGCGAGGATTGCGTCGAGGGCGCTCTGGAGCGTGGTCTCGCTGGCGGAGAGCGCGGCGTTCGTCTCGTATGAGGCCAGCAGCGCCGTGTCGGCCTTGCTGCGCTGCGACGAAGGCCTCGGTGGCAAGACCCAGCAAGGCATTTACAATCTTCGTATCTACGTCCAGCGGCGTGTCCAAGCCGTCCACCGTGGAGAGCAAGGCGGCCAGCGCGCTGGCGTCCGCCTTGCCCGAGAGGGCTGCGTCGAGGGCTGCCGTGGTGACGGCATCCAGGACTTCGAGTCCACCGCCGAGGAAGTGTCCACGGCCGACTGCAGGGCGTACGCAGTCAGGGCACTGGCGTCTGCCTTGGAGGCCTGCAGCCCCGAGATGGTGGCGTCTCTGCTTGCGAGCTCGGAGGCCAGCGCCGCGGCGGATACGACGCCCAGGCGTGTCCACCTCCAGCGGAGTGATCCTTGCCGCTATGTCAAGGGAGTGCTGGTCCACCACCGTCTTGAGGCCGTAGTTGGCGGCCACCGTGGCCAGCGTGGCGTTGTTGGCCGAGGCGATGGAGCCGTTCATGGCCGCCACGGTGCTATAATTGGACTGAGTCGGGGGTGCTCTTCGTGGCCACCACGCCCTCCAGCACGTCGAAGGCCGACTGGTCTGCCTTGTTCGAGAGGCCCGTGGTCGAGCTCTGCAGCGCTGCGATGCTACTCCCGTGCGCAGCCACCTGTCCGTCCGTGGTGGCCAGGGCCGCTGCCGTGGCGAGGGGTGCGATTGCCGGCGCCAGTGCGCTGCTTTCCAGCTTTGAGGCCAGCTCTGCGGTGACCCGGTCGTCCAGCGACTGGATGGCGGCTGCGTTGTTGCCGGAGGCTGCCGTGTTCACGGCCAGGTCTGTTACTTGCGCGTAGGGCGTCAGAGCGAGGGCCAGCTGCCCTGCGGTGACGTGCGTGCCGTCAGTTACCTCTCCGTTGTCCAGGACCTCCGGGATGTTCCCGGTGACAGGTCCTTCAAACATGCTTTACATATGTTTTCGCCGACGCCTTAGTCCAGTGGCTAAGGTGTCGGCGAAGAGCTTACCGCTTCTTACTCCGCGCCGGGCCCGATTCCTGCCGCGTGCGCAGTTGAGTACCATTCAGTCCGAATTCCTTCACTCGCTACAGGTCGGTGTCACTTGTGGCAGACTCCGTCTCTGCCGCGAGTTAGTCGAGCACAGAGACGCCCGTGCCGGAGAGCGTCACTAGCTGATAGGCTATCAGGTGGATGAACACGTCCGTCATCGTACCGTCGAGCGCCTTGAAAGTGAACCGAGCCAGGTCGCCCGAGCGGGCGCTGACACCACTCAGTGGCATCTTGGGCACGCGCTCGGTGGGAAAGCCGGCAATGAAGCTGTGGCGCAGGTAGCCCACACGGCCGATGTCGATGTTGCGCACCGTGTCGTCGTAAGTACCCGCAAGGATCGAGAGGAAGTGGAAGTGCTCCGAGGCTCCTTTCATGGGGTTGTGAGGGTACTGCAGGCTGCCCAGCTGCATCTGAGACTCCAGGAGGCTGTCCTCCTGCCTGGCCGCGCCGATGGGGGTCCTGCCCCGGGTTGGCCAGCAGGTGGATCTTAGAGCCCGCGTCGTTGTCCCAAAAAGTCACGAACGCTCCCATGATGAGTTTCGTGAAGGCGCGCGCAACGGTGACGTTGTGCTCCGCCACGCCCGGAGGCACCGTGGACTGCTGCGTGTGCACCGTGGGGTAGCTGAACACGAGGGACCTTCCTGAGAGGAGCACCCGGTTGAAGGACTCGACCAGCGCCAAGTCCAAGACGACCTGGGAGGCCAGGACTCGGACGTTCTGGATCTCGAAGTCGGTGCTCAGCGTGGCTCCCGCCGGGTGCGCCCCGGCGTTCTCGGACCACAGCGCAGTCGTGGCGTCCGCGAACTCGATCTCGACCACCAGGTTCAGCTGAGGCGGCAGCATCTTGCCGCAGCGCAGGATGCCCACCATGGTGGGGCGCATCAGCACGTCCGCGCACCCGCTTTGGTGCACCGCGCGGGCGATGCGGGGGTCGTTGACTTCGTCGAAACCCTCCATAGCCTTGCTGCGGTTGTACTCTCGGCCCTTCAGCAGGTCATGCACGGCCACGGTGCGGCCGTAGTAGTTGATGTCGTCGCAGCGCTGACCGTTGGCGAAGACCTGGGCGCGCTGGATGAAGCAGGCGGGGTTCGGAGTGGCCGGCGCCAGCGGGTTGGTGGCGTCAGTGTTTCTGACTCTGAAGGCGATTTTGATCGTCTCAGGATCGATAAAGGACGTGCCACTAGTCAGCAGGATGCGGCAGACTCGCGCTGTGGCGGGGGAGAAGGTGCTCAGGGAGCTGGGAAAAATCTGCATTCTTTCGCTGCCCCACAGCCCGAGCCTCCTACCGCAGCAGCGTCAGCCATGCAGCCTGCGAAGAGGCGAAGGAGTGGCGGTGGCGCCGGCGCCGGCGCGTCCAGTTCTGCCATCGGGCCGCAGCCTCCCAGCCTTCTAGTCCCAAGTGGAGCCTTGGCCGTCCAGCAGCAGATTCCCTGCACACGACAGCTTCCCCCTTTGCACCACAGCCATTTCCCTGCACACCGCACTTTTCCGCCTTTGCACCTCAGCACTTCCCCGCACTTTCCTTGAGCGCCGCAAGAATTTCTGCTGCGCGCCGCAGTTTTCCGCCTTTGCACCACAATGATTTCACCTGTGTACTGCAGTTTCCCCCTTTGCACCACAATAATTCCACCTGTGTACCGCAATTTTCCACCTTTGCCCCACAATAATTTACGCTACTTGTATAATACACCGTAGTTTTTCCCCCTTGCACCACCATGATTTCACCTGTGTACCGCAATTTTTCCCCTTGCAGCACAATAATTCCACATGTATACCGCAATTTTCCCCCTTTGCACCACGAGAAATCGCCCTGATGCCCCCCCCTTTGCACCACAATAATCTTGTACATGGCAGCATTAGCCCTACCACTGCGTACCACAGGTTCCCCCTTTGCACCACGATACTTTGCCATGCACAGCGCCACATGATTTCTTTGCACGCAGCTTCCCCCCTTCGCACCACAATAATTTCACTTGTATACTGCGTTTTCCCGCTTTGCACCATGCTTTCCTCCTTGGCACCGCAAGCATTTCCCTTGTATACCACAATTTCCCCCTTTGCACCGCAAGAATTCCCCCTAGAGTGTCCATTGTACACTGTAAACTGCAGTTCCCCCTTTGCACCACAAGAGTTCGTTTCCCCCTTTGCACCAAAAGAGTTTCCACCTTTGCACCACAAGAGTTTCCCCCTTTGCACCACAAGAGTTTCCCCCTTCGCACCACAAGAGTTTCCCCCTTTGCACCACAAGAGTTTCCCCCGTTGCACCACGAGAGTTTCCTCCCCTGCGCCGCAAGAGTTTCCCCCTTTGCGCCACAAGAGCTTCCCCCTTTGCACCACAAGAGTTTCCCCCTTTGCACCACAAGAGTTTCCCCCTTTGCACCACAAGAGTTTCCCCCTTTGCACCACAAGAGTTTCCCCCTTTGCACCACAAGAGTTTCCCCCTCTGCACCACAAGAGTTTCCCCCTTTGAGTTTCCCCCTTTGCACCACGAGAGTTTCCCCCTTTGCACCACAAGAGTTTCCCCCTTTGCACCACAAGAGTTTCCCCCTTTGCACCACAAGAGTTTCCCCCTCTGCACCACAAGAGTTTCCCCCTTTGCACCACAAGAGTTTCCCCCTTTGCACCACAAGAGTTTCCCCCTTTGCACCACAAGAATTTCCCCCTCTGCACCACAAGAGTTTCCCCCTTTGCGCCACAAGAGTTTCCCCCTTTGCACCACAAGAGTTTCCTCCCCTGCGCCGCAAGAGTTTCCACCTTTGCGCCACAAGAGTTTCCCCCTTTGCACCACAAGAGTTTCCCCTTTGCACCACAAGAGTTCCTCCTTGGCACCACAAGAGTTTCCCCCTTTGCACCACAAGAGTTTCCCCCTTTGCACCACAAGAGCTTCCCCCTTTGCGCCATAAGAGCTTCCCCTTTGCACCACAAGAGCTTCCCCCTTTGCGCCACAAGAGTTTCCTCCTTTGCACCACAAGAGTTTCCCCCTTTGCACCACAAGAGTTTCCCCCTTCGCACCACATGAGTTTCCCTCTTCCCCCTTCACGCCACAAGAGTTTCCCCCTTTGCACCACAAGAGTTTCCCTCTTTGCACAAGAGTTTCCCCCTTTGCACCACGAAGAGTTTCCCCCCTTGCACCACAAGAATTCCATTGTATTCTGCGGCAGCTTGCTTCGTCGCACCACGAGCTTTGCTGCGTGCACCGTTTGTCAGGCTTGCCCGGCGGGAAAATTGGAGCCGGCCCGGCCCTACTGAGTCACTTGCTCGGGATATTGTCAAAGTTACGTTTTCGGGCGGCTGGCCTCGGGCAGGCACTTCCAAGCTTGCTTGCAAGTTAAATTTAGCTTCCCGGGCCATTACGTCGCTTCTTGTCAGCGTTTTGCGCCACAAGAACTCGCCACGCGTGCCACTACTTCCCCTGTTGCACCGCAAGGTTTTTGCTCGTCTACCGTGTTCCTTCTTGCTTTGCACCATGTGATTTTCCTGCACTGCTCAGGAGCAGGGCAGAATGCGCAGCTCCTGTCTGAGTTGGAGAGCAGAATCACTCAGCTGCAGGAGGCTTTTCCTGGAATTGAGAACGAAGAATCGGCGAGGGCGGGAGCTTGGCCCCTTTTGACCTGAAGAGCGCCAGGATTGCGCTCAGCAACGCGAGTGACAGTGAGATCCCAGAGTACACATGCCTGCAGAACTTCTTCAAGCGCCAGTTGTCCATGATGGTAGACGGCAATGTGGCTTGGCTGCATCAGGCAGGCGCTGCCAAAGCGCGAGTGAGAGAATTTCCAGTTACAGTAGCGCCCGCTCAGGTGCCCCTGCGGCCAGCGTCTGTCAACATTTTGTGTGACACCTGGTACCAGAGCCCAAGTGCTTTTCACGGGCTCTTCCTTGTTGCGGCCCCGCCGGATTGGGCCGCGGTTCCGCCTTCGAAGCTGTCGCGTGATTCAGTGCGCCCCCTCACGCCCATGGAGCACATCTTGGCGTTCCTCAGGAAACGCATGTTTCACACTTTGCTTCAGATTCATTGAGCGGCAACTGCAGCTGCAGGAGCGCCTGCCGGGATTTGCATGATGACGTCAAGTCTCGCCAGTGGCGTCGCCACTTGACAGCTGCGCCATGGCTTCAACATGGCGCCTTGATAGATGCTGTCTTGCGCCGGACGCGCTCCTGTCCTTGCCAAGGTGAAGTTCTGCTACAAGGCGATTTCCTCAGAGGAGTCGATCTTCTGGCAAGCCCAAAATGAGCGCATGTCTTACAAAACTGCGGCTGCGTCCATGACGCTTACGGCCATTCAGCGGATATACTCAGTCCTGCAGCACAAGCAGCGCTATGAGGCATCGCATGGGGAGATCAGCGCCTCTGCCAGCCAGGGTATGGTAAAACGCAGTCAGGCCTCACAAAGTGACCTTAGAAAGGTAGGGGGAGCAAAATTCTAAAAGGTAGGAGGGCAGGCTGGTCTTGTCATCATAGCGTGGCTGTCACGCCCTGCCGCCCCACTGCAAAAGACTCAGGTGTGCAGGACTTCTGCATTTACTACCAGAAGAATCTGAAAACGATAGCAGAATCCGAGCAGGACGGGCACGCCGCCGCGTAAGTGTACCCGCAGCCCAAGCTACCAAGGTGTCGGATGCCTTTATCGACACTGCGATGTCCCTGAGCAAACGCGTGCTGCGCTCAGTGACAGTGGCACGACTTTGAATGCATTTTTCGCGGTTGCAGGTGCTGGCCAACCCGCAGCTGGCGGAGGTGCTCCTGTCTGCTGACGATATGGCCTCGCGCCTGAGTATGAGGGGCGACCCAGCCCTTTTGAATCATATTCAAAGATGCAACTTATGATTTCCAGAGCAAAGTCGCCGGAGTCTATAGAATGGACTGTGCACGCATTGCCACTTCGGCTGCATCGCAATTATCAACTTACATAGCAAAGCCCTGCCGCTTTGTACAAGCTTGCGAGAATGCCACCTGAAGCTTCGATGCCTAAGGATGGATGGCTGGCGAAATCGGTATTGGAGTGCGGATTTTTTGGCGAAAGGCGCGCTGGCAGGCAAGACTTTCAGCCAGGCTGGGTCTCGCAGGCTTGACATCTCATCAGACAAGGCCAGTCCTGGCCCGCTGCGCCTAGGGCACCATCACTTTGCTGGTCCAGCTCATGGAGTTCAAGCTGCTTCAGAACGTTTTGCCGCCGCTGGGCCTTCACAGCCTGTCCTTGACTGTCAGGCATGAGCAGATGTGGCCAGCGCCTGTCGCGGCGCAACTGGCGGAAATCCTGAAGGACCACAGCAGCTACCGCAGGCTAGCTTGACTGTGCATCGTTCTGCTTGGAAGCGGCCATGCTTCACTTGTGGCAGGCACTGCGGACACAAGAACGAAGACGTCAGCATGGCGTGGAGAGCAGGCAGCGGGCACGTGGCAGGGCGCTGACACTGCTATAATCCAACAAGCTGGCGGCTTGCAAGGCTTCCCCCAGTCAGCCGACAAGTTCTTCAGCTTCGTGGAGGCGGGTCTGTCTTGGCACTTGCTCCGTTCATGCCTGTTGTCCATTGAGGCAGCCATCTACAGCGATGAGTTCCTGGGCGTCTACAAAGGATTCATGAAGACCAGAAAGCCTGCGCCATGTCTGTGAAGGAGTGCTGATGCTCCTGTTCCGTAGCGCTCAGTGGGGTTGTCTGAGGTGACGGAGCGGGAGACGCATCCAGAACTTGCTGTCCGCCTGGGTGATTGTAAAGAGTGCCTGGGCGCAGTGTTTGTGCTGCTGGCAGCCACGTCCATGCCCAGCGCTGTAGCAGCAGGTCTCTGGACAGTGAGCGCTCGTCTGTCTCCGACCCCACAGTGACCGAAGAGAAGGACGGCAAGACCGCTGCAGGCGAAGCAGACGCTGAGGATGAGGTCGCGGCTCACTTGGCTGCGGCCTCAGCTGGTTGTGGGCGTAGACTCTTCTTCGAGTGTTGAGTTCAACGCTGCGTCGTTCTGTGTGGCAGGAGCTGCCAGCGCAAGCGGAGGAGAACAAGAAGGCGAAGCCTGCGCCTGTGCACCTGGCGGATGATGATCGGAGAAAGGTTATGCTGCGCGAAGCCCAGTCGCCATGATGATTCAATCCTGGCTAAACAAATTGCGGAGCAGCCACTCCCCAGCCAGGTTCAAGAAGAAGTGCATTCGCTACGTTCGCACTTACGTGCATTTGGTGCCTGAGGAGGCTGGGGCTGAGTTTGCCTTTAAGCAGCTGGGACATGACGCCAGCAGCCCCAGTTCTATGCACTTGCTGCCAGGAAGATGTGAGCAAGATGGCGCAAGCCTTTGCAGACCTGGGCGTTTCCGAGTGGAAGGGCGAAGTCGCCACTGCGAGCAATGGTGAGCGCTTTGGCTGCGGCAGCTTGCTGCCCGTGTCCCTCCGCACGGTTAACTGCTCAGGACTGCGCAGACAAAGCTGGTGTGCATTCTATTCGTGGCTCAGCTGCACTTTAGCCCATGGAGCGCCAGAAAGCTGCTGTGCCCCACTCTGACAGCAGGACACGAAAATCGCAGGAGAGGCGCAGACGCAGCCGCAGGTCAGATTGCCTCCTGTGAGGGAGGGCAAGCTACCCAAGCTGATGCAAGCAGCTCTAGAGCAGCGCTTGTCTGGCTCTCGTCAGCTTCCAGACACTGATGTGGTTATGATGCTTGACGGCGGGCGGGAAGGACTGGTCAGAACTCTAATGTGTTGTTGAAGCTAGTTTAAATTACATAGCCACGCTTGCTTCACCTTGGTATGTGTCGCCGTGAATGCTAGGACTACACAGCACGCTCCTGTCTAGCCTCAAGACTCCCTCCGGCGACGCCTTGGCAAAGAAGAAGGAGTTCGTGTACCTGTTCTACGACGAGAAGGCGATTTTCCTTTGTGAACGCCAGTTTTCCCCCCTTGCACCACAAGAATTGCCCTTTTATACAGCAGGTTTCCCCCCCCCTTCAGAGTTCCGCGTGTCTATTACAACTTCCCCCTTCTGCGCCACAAGAATGCCGGCGCCTCCCGCTTGGCGTTGCTCAGGCCACTTCATCCTCCCTGAGAACATCCTCTTCGCACCAATTCTCGTGGTGCAAAGGGGGAAGGAAAATTGCGGTATATGTGGGAGATTGGGGTGCAAACGGGGAAAATAGTGTGGCGCAAAGGGGGAAGACTGTACGCGGGCGGACGTTTTGTGGGGAAAACTGCGGTATAGTTCGGTTGTGCACAAGCGGGAAAACTGTGACGCAAAGAGGCTATCATTGTGGTGCAACAAGGGCGCTGCAGTAACCGCGCAGGATTATTGTGGTGCACAGAGGGAATCTGTGGGTAAACAGGGGGACTTCTCATGGTGCGAAGAGAGAAAGCTGCAGTATAGGGGCAGTTATTCTCTTGCAAAAGGGCAAACCTGCAATAAACCTGCGGAATTGGAAAACTGCAGTAGACAGGTGGAATTCTTGTGGTGCAAAGGGGGAGGGGAAACTGCGGTATGCGTGGAACTTGTGATGCAAATTTGGGGGAAAACTGCTGTATACAAGCGGAATTCTTGTGCCACACAAGGGGAAAGCACGGGAAATTCTCGTGGTGCAAAGGAAGGCAATTCTCGTGGTGCAATGGGGGAAAATTGCGCTATATATACGTGGGAACTTCTTGTGGTGCAAAGGGGAAAACTGCTGACTGCTGTACACAGCGAGAATTCTTGTGGCGCAAATGCGGGAAACTAGACGATTTTTGGGTGGTGCAAAGGAGGGAATCCACGGAATACAGCTGGACTTCGCGTGGTGCAAACTGCGGTATGCGTCAGAAATTATTGCGGTGCAAAATAAAAGGGGAGAACTGCGGCAAACACGGAGTGTGGCGCAAATGGGAATCTGCAGTACACAAGGGCTATTCTTGTGGTGCAAACGGGGAAACAGCGTTATGCGTTGGAAATTCTTGTGGTGCGAAGGGGGAAAACTGCTGTACACAGGCGGAACTCTTGTGGCGCAAGTGGGGAAACTGTGGTGTCAAAGGGGGAACGGGGGTGCTTCTTGTAGTGCAAAAAACTGTGATGCGCAGGATATGTTTTTCAGCTACGGGGCAGCCATGCTGAACAAGTCATGACAAACGAACTGATGAAACTGTCGAAGGAACCAGGGTAACTAAGCAAAGCTTGGCCAGCCTTGTTGCGTTAAAATCACTGGCGCATGTCTGTTTGGGGGGAGGAGGACCGTGCTCGCCCTGGTAGTGGAGACAGGAGCTGCAAAACTGCCATGAGATCGCTGGCGCCTGTCTGCCTGGGGAGGAAGAACTGGCTTGGACGACAAGACAGGCGCTGCCAACGCTGTCCACCACAGAACCACCAAAAAACTCACATCACCATGTTTGTTTGGCATCCTACGAAGCAAGGTACATTGGTTTAAAATGAGCATGAACCCGCTGTTTCCCCATGATTTCACAAACACTGTCACATATTGCTGATGTTTTGTTTCTGCAAATTTACATGAACATCAGCGCATATTCATCATTTTCACCAGTTGTACACAAACATCACTACATGCTCCTTACGATTTTTGCAGCCTTGTTACCGTAATCTTACACGAACATCAACGCCTGCTCATTACGACTTATTCATCATTGTTACCTTGACTTCACACGAACATTTGCAGATTTTTTAATCAAAAAACATGCTTGTAAGACTGTAAGCTTCTTAAATGCAGGCCAGACCAGCGCATCCCCCTCGTGGAGCCTGCGGGGCCTTGTGGTGAGCGCCTGGGAGTATTCGGTGCAAACGGGTGACGCCCGCACAAAGTCGAAGCGCCTGGGCGGGAAGGCGGCGCGGTAGTCCCAGCGCAGAATGTCGCAGCAGATGGTGGGTGTGAATTTGGGCAGGATGTCCAAGCTGACCACCTCCCAGCCCCTGGCCTCGAAGGCCCTTCCAATTGATCCGGTGCCCTGCAGCGCGGGCATATTTCTTTGAAGCGTCCTGCGCACCTCCCCGTCCCCGCAGCGGTCCCTCCACACTG